TCCTCATTTGGAGGCTTCTAGCTTCTCGGACTGAGCAACTACTACACCTTCTGATACTCCAGTATGCAGGTGACTATTGCAGACTATTTCCCCTCTGTTCCTGTAATCTTTTCTTGTAAATCCCCTTTCATTATTATATGTATTACACACACACAAACACACACACACACACACACACATATATATATATAATTATGTAATGCATATAATAATGTAGTATATATGTGTATCTCCTAGAAAACCCTAAGGAGTGCAGGTGGAAAGTTAATATAACTCCCTTAATCTCTTCACTTTTGCCCCCGCCCTTAGTAGAGGCCTGTGTCTGCCTCTTGTTTGGGTTAATTTTTTTTTTTTTTTTGTACTGGGGATCAAACTTGGCTCTTTGTGCTTTGTGAGGCAGGCAGCAGCACCACTGAGCTAAATCCCCAGCCCTTGTCCAGGTTAGTGTAATCTGCTCTCAAATCTCTCTACCTTCACTCTTGCCCCATCTCCTCCCCACCCATCTTCATATAGCAAATCTTGTATGTTTGGTCACTCATCATTTTCCTTTACATTCTCATGTCAGTAGGATAAGAATACAGTGGAATGATTCATCAAACTAATTCACAAAAATGTACTGGACTTCCCTATCCTTATCCTGGCCACTTTCTGTACATCATAGCCAGAGTCGTGTTCCTAAAATGTGAAGATTAATACAGTATTTCCTAGTTTAAGAAGGCTGCAGTAATGCTCCACTTTTTAAAAGATGAGTTCATACTTTTCAATAGAACATATGAACCCTTCATGATCTTGTCTTCCATTGTGTGTTGAACTTTTCTCCCTCAAAATGCTTATATTGAGGTGCTGATACCCAGCACCTTAGAATGTGCCTTTATTTGGAGATAGGCCTTACAGGACTAATAAAATCAAACTGTTGTCTGTAGGTGAGCTCTAATTCAATATGATTGGGTATCCTTACAAATGGGAAATTTGAGCACAGAGACAGGCACCCAGAGGGAAGATATAAAGACAGAGGGAGGTTATACGGCCTCCTATGAGAGAGGCCTGGAGTAGACCACTCCCTCCCCACCCTCAGAGGTGGTGACATGTAGTTTTCACATTTCCAGCCTCCAGACCCATGAGCAACATTTCTGTTGCTTAAGTCACCTGTTTTATTACAGTACTTTACTATGACGGCCCTAGCAAACTAACACAGCTCCCAAATTTTTCTTTTCCCTCCTACATCTCTACCCCAACATCCTTACTCCTTGGTTCTGTGCCAACTATCCTGAGCTTCTGACATTCTCTGAACAGGGTCAGTTCTGTTAGCCCATGTTTTCTGCATAGGCAAATCCCTCACCTGGAATACTCTTTTCCTTGGCAGTTTGTGTGCCTAACTGACTCCTTTGTCCTTAATATCTCAGCTTCATGGTCTCCATCTCTGAAGAGTCTTCCTTACTTTCTCTCTTAGACTACTAAATGGCCTTCTGCTGCCATGCACTTATCAGATGATGTCACATTTCCTATTTATTTGTCTCTGTCTTTGCTAGAGGGCAAACTTTTTGAAAGCATGGGTTATATAGCAGAAATCTGTTTCTGACTTTTCAGAAGCCACTTGCTCCCCGATAATAGCACCCTTATTTTTTCTGGTTAAATGAATTTTATTTACATTTTTAGAAATGCTTTCAATAGTAAGAATAAAGCTGGAATGAGAATGAAACATTCTGATTGATGTCAAAGAAATATACTTGTGTAAATTTTTTTTACTGTATTCTTTCTTTTTTTTTTAAATTAATTTTATTGGTACCATTAAGGTATACAATATAATGACATTCATCATTGGAAATTTGCACCTTTACATAATCCATCTTGGTTCTTATTTTTTTCCCCATTTCCTTATGAAAACTTACCTTCTCTTCTGGTAGTACATAAAATTCATTGATCACACTACTTAGCCCAGAGCCATGCAGAGGATTCAGGCACTGTGAATGAGTTTGTACCTCCCTTTCATGACCTCAGACATGTGTTCAGGGATGATGATGGCCTGTGAAGGCCACTGAAAGCTAGTATTCATTTTCTGCTGAGACTATTAGAGATTGGAGACCTACATCTGTGCTGCATTTGGGACTTCTGGCAACTGTCACCATGGGATAAACCCACCAGACAGTAAGCCCCAGGGAAGGCAAAAGCATGAAAGATCAGTGCCCATCTAAAAACAAGGCATGGGCCCCCAGTCCAGAGGTCATGACACGGTATCATAGTTCTTCCTTGTTGATTACATATTCACCAAAGAGAAAATGACAAGCAAGATAACATCTAGGGCAGAAAAAGCAAGTAAAAACCAGGTTCTACTTGGGAAGCTTCATATGTATAATAGGCCATGGTGGTGCCCAATTTATTCTATATATTATTCAGTTTGTTCTCTTGCTACACTGATGAAAACATTGGAATGGCTAAGGTTTGTGCCTGCGTGTGCATTTTGATGTAGCTTGTAAAATCAGTTGTGCAAAGGTGCTTTATTGTACTAGTGTGATAAGTAGTAAGCACAAGCAGGTTGTACGGTGCTTAAGATTAGGGGATTTGGAGGTGGGAAGTCAGTCTTGGCTCTGCTGTTTTGCCAGTTAGGAAATCTTAGGCAAATGACTTTGGCTATGAGCCTGTTTCTTCATTTGCAAAACAAGGATAGTACTGGCACCACTTTGTGGCATAAAAGGAAATAATGTTACAATGCGTCCAAAGAACATAGCTCAGGGCGGGAATATATCATGTAGTCAAGAAAAAGAAAGTTTCACATTTGTTTAAAATAAACATTTTATTTAAAAAATATGCATTTTCTTTTTTTAAAAAAAAAATGAACACATGCCAACTTTGGTATTGTAGCCACTGCTTCTTTGCTTTTCCCAGTACCCCACATTTATTACTTTTTATGTAAAGGTGAGCAATGAGTACAACGTGAGCACACACCGCACAGGGTCCCACAGAGAGTGCATTCTCACTCCTCGGTTCTTTATAAAGTGCCTATCTGTGTTTCTTTGAGGGAGAATTTTAAGCACCCAGCAATCTGTTGCCCTGGGTCCTCACTGTAAGTCCACAGGTACTAAACTCTGGGGAGCAGTGTGGGTCTTGTTCCTTTGGAAAACATCTAAATAGCTTCCAGAATCCTCATTGCAAGATTACTGTTCCATGAACACCCAAAGTAGTTAATCCATCTATAGAAAACGCATTCCACCTGGGTCCAAGATGGAACTAGGTGGTTAATAGAAGTTCAGGAGGCCTCCAGGGGGTTGTTTGTCCTAATCCATAGGGGAAATATCCGAGTTCCAGGATCAAAGAGAAATCTACTCATACATTACTGAATGCAATGAGTCCTAGTCCAATATCCCTGGTGGATGACAACAAATTCTTCCCAAATCCCTCCACATTTTGAAATCATTTCCCCATGGAGAGCCTCAACCTAATCAGAGCTTAACACAACTAGCTTTTGGCACTATAAGGCCCTCTGTTCCAGGACCTGTGCTCTGTATATCTATTGTCTGTCTAATAAAGCACCAGCCGTATCAGCATGTGAGCAACTTGCTGGTTTATAATTAGAATCATGGGAAAAGGAGAACCCTAGATTCCTTTCATTTCAGGTTTTCTTATTCTGACAGCAAGCCACGTTCCAGCATTTGCGAACTTCTCCTGTGAGGTATGCAACAAAAGCCTGAAAAGGAGGAGGGAGGCCAACTTGTCTTCACACTCTGGAGCTTTTCTCTTAAGAGAAGGAGGCTCACTGGGCATACCTCATTTCCCTCCACCCCCGGATGTGTTTGTTCCTTTTGTCTAGAGAGCCAGTTACCATGGCTGAGGCTAGGGCAGGACAAAAACAGTTTTCACCACCTTCCCTTATTTTCAAGGGGGCTTTTGTATCTGGCTATCAAAATAAATGTTCTCACATGTTTTAAATGATGGGAGACATAGATTCCAAGTGATAAACTGCTACTATCTGACTATAAGAAAAAAGACAATAATCCTTCCACATGAGGACAACTTTTAGCTAAAAAAGGGCCCTCTATTCTCCCTTCTGGAAAAACCAGGCCTGTTTTTATCTTGGCTGAAAGGTTTCTATTCTAAGGATCAGAAGATTCCTAGTGTTCTTGCTTTTAGGGATTTCAACTCCTTTATCATTCTACATCTGAACAATCTGTGCTGAATCAATTTGGCACTGCAGATATGATGATACGTGTGCATTGCACATGGCAGACATAAAAAATTATCCACTGAGTGAGAAAATTTGATGTGGGAGTGTGCAGACAGACTAACTCTAGAAGAACTGAGTGAATTTAAAGTAATTTTTGAAAAGAACCTTTTTTTGGTACCTGGGATTGAACTCAGGACCTTGCGCTTGGCGAGGCAGGCAGCAACGCCTCCAAGCTAAATCCCCAGCTGAAAAGAACTGCATTGAGTGCTCAGGATAGGATTTTTTTGGGTTTTCACAAGAGTGGAAATAAATGCTTTAAAACGGTCGCCAGTTCACAGACCCTTGACTGCTTGGAAGTAGGCTATTTCGGTTTCCACACGTAGTACTGGGGTCATTGCAGTGTTAAGAAGGGCTTCACATTGACAAGTTTGCCGTTTATTTTATTTTATCTTTTATAATGTTGCATTTTAGCTCAGTGGTGGCAAACCTATGGCATGTGTGTTACTGTGTTTTTCTTTTAAGACAAAAGATGTTAACATAGGAGTTATTTTTCTAAACTAAAACCTCAGTATTCAGGTTTAATGAGAGTATTAGCACTTGGCAATAAAGAAGTGGGTTTCGGATTGCACTTTGGCACTTGGCTCTAAAAGGTTCACCATCCTTCTCTTAGCTGAACTAAGTGGTTCATAGGTTAGAAAGTTGGGTCCTTCTCTTCTCTCCCTCTTTCCTACCCCTTCCTTTTCCTTCCTTCCTTCCTTCTTTCCTTCCTTCCTTCCTCCCTTCCTCCCTCCCTCCCTCCTTTCCTTCCTTCCTTTTTCCTTCTTTCCCTTTCAACCTTCCTTTCTTCTTTCTTCTCTTCCTCCCCCTCTTCCACCTTTCTTCTCTCTCCCACCTCTCTCTCCCCATGATAGAAATATGCTATCTCAATAACATTGCTAGAGGCTACAAATGAGCACCAGCTTACAGAGCATGCTTGCGCAGATGGATACTGATGAATCTCCTAGGCTGCAGCAATATTACGAATGGCTGCATGGGTCTGCATATCTGCATCATCATGAGGACTTCAGGGATCTTAGCTACATGGATCAAAGAACATTAAACTTGCACGTGGCCATCTTTTTGTGCACCTGTTAGTCGTGTCCAGTTATTACCACACAAGAGCTCGCAACTGTCTATAAGAATTCAGTGTAAAAATTTCCAGCAGCAGACAGATGAATTAACATGAATTACCAATTATCTGATCTACAAGGAACAGGCACTTTTGTCAATTCCCTCCAAAGTATCTCCAATTTTATCCCTCAACCTCCCATCAACACTATGAAGGCACATGGGTGCCTGGAGACTGAGGGAGCAGCTGAAGACCAATTGTTCAAGGTTCTGCTCTTTTAGCTCTGTTGGTTTGCAGTAGCGAAGAGGAATCATCCTCTCTTTTGTCTGCTGTGAGGTTTGAATATTAGACTTGGGCAATAGCCTAAAAATATCCCAATGAAAAGGCACAGTCTAGCCAAGTATAGAGGCTTCCAAACCAGGTCTAATCCCTCAGATAGAAATTCCCAAGGTGAAAAAAGCACTACCACTGATACCAAGATCTCAGAATAGGGAAACCATGTGTTTGTTTTCCAAAGGAAGTAAAAGGAGAAAATAACACATAAAGAGCACAATGTGGCACCTGGAAAGTGTGCTGACAGAAAGCTTTGTCAAGACTAAAATCACATGTGAGGAATACACCAACGCAAGGAATGTGTCGATAAGGTCTCTTCCCCATTGCTTAATCTTCATGGTATTTTTTTCCTCTAGATTTTTGGTTCTGATGACTGACATAGAAGCAAAATAAATACTCTACCATGGAAATCATTTCAAGCACAGAGCAGATCAGGGAATGTAAAGCAATTTTCATATTCTTTTTTTATACTTTCCTACAAGAGACTGTATTACCATTGGCAGCACCTAATGGTGAAACCATTCTGTCTTTTCACATCTATATCATTGCCAAGAGGAGACTGTTCACGGTAAGCAAGTGGCTGTGAGTCACTGGGCTGGAGCCCTTAGTCATACACAGAGAGGCAATGTGTAGTCTGGTTGGTTAATCAGAACTCATAGTAAGAAAGGCCAAGTATCATTCACAGCAGTTTGATGGTTAAAGGTTTTTGGTACAGAACTCTGTAACACTGATTTTCAAGACACACGCATACACATAAATGAGTAGGTATGCATACATGTGTGTGTAACAGATACACACACTTATAACATGCATGTGTCTATAGATCGATGCACCCATACCCTGAATAAGATCTGGCAGCTTTCTGAGTAGCACTCACCAAAACCACTCTAAGTTCACACGTTTTTTTTTTACAAGCTAACAATAACAATGGAATGACTTCTACATTTCTGGTTTATCAAAAAGAGAACTTCTAAAATCACAACATTTTTGATTATTTTCTCTATAAGTGCACAGTGAACAACTTTGTTTTTTTACAAAAGAAAACAGTGCCTCGGTGACTTAAATTAAAAACAAAAACAGCAACAGCTACATTCTACACATGCAACACTATAAAATGGTGAAGTCGAGCCACAGTGAGCCTTAGAGAGACTGTCCTGCAATTTCAGGTTTGTCCCCACTCCCTGCCAAAGCACAAGAGATAATGAGGAATGCTCATTAGACCATGGTCTGTTTTCTTTCTTCTATTGTTTTCAACGTACAGTTGTATTTTCTTTTAGAAACCCAGACCTGAAATACACTCTCTCCAGTAAATATCATCCATATTTATAATGATTTACAACTCCACAATACTATAATGTAATGATTTCCTGGAGGAACAAGAATCAAAGATTGCTTATAAATCAAATGAGAGTAGCACAAGCTTTGTGACCCAGGAGTCGAGTCACCAGTTTCTTCCTAAGGGGTTTCTTGTGATTTCCCTTTGCAGAGAACTGTGGATGTGAGGAATGAGTTCTACAGGAGAACCTGGACTTTCAACTTTCTAAAAAAAAATGGCTTTATCAGAAGTATGACAGCTTGTTAGAACTGAGCAGTCCTCCCCTCTCAATGTTGGGACAAAAAAAATTGTCAAAAGAGAAGCAAGAAACGATTGCTATTTTGAAAGCCAAGTTGAGTAGAAGAAAGATAAATTGAGGTTAAGAAATAAAAGAAGTTGGACCTCTATAAGTAACATTCCTGTAATAGTAATATATGGTATTTCTTCCCAGGATATGCAAAACAATGTCTTTCTCTAGTCCTATCTAAATTTATCCCTTATTCAACTTCCTCTGCCTAGAGATATCCTTCTGTCTGCTTATCTCTAGTCTTTGGAAGTAAAGGGGGTTATATTAGAGAATGTAAGGAATCCATGGCAGGAGGTTTTCCTGTTCAAGGTTGTCACCTTTTACACAATGCTTATCAGAATGGAGATGGTGGGAATGTCTGGGCTACTGAATGAAAAAGAGAAAAAACTGAGGTGGAGTTCTCTAAACTCAATTCAAATTAATTGTTATGAGTGGCCTCAAAGTCCTGGATTTGAACCACTCTAGTGGGGCAGAGAGGGGCATCAAGTTGAATTTACTTTTCTAGGAATGCATTGGTTCACCCTTCTATTCTGCCTTGAGGAGTCCCTAACTGAAGCTGGACCTGGCTGCTCTTTTGAAAGATACATAATGGTAATACAGGAAGTAAGCTCCACTGTGGCTATGTCCCCTGTAACCTTCGAAGAACAATCTTCCCTGTATTCTCCAAAGACTTTTAATGTTTTCTTCCCACCGTATGTCTAATAAAGTCATGCCGAAAGTTTACAGTATTAACTTACACCCCACGAATGCCTGAGAAAAAGTATGGGCTAGAAAAAAAATGTTGCTATTTGAAAAGGTGGTGAAAGAATTTTCTTCAGCATCCTTAATCTGAGAAAGCAGTTTTGAATGCATTGTTGAAATGATTAACAGTTACTGAATGTGGGTAAATACCACATTATATATATATTTTTAAAAATAACTCCTATTTGTTCTTGTTGATTGTCACAGAAGTCTCCATTGCCTCTTTTTAATCTTCTTTGATAATATCAGTATTTATGGCTATGTGTTCTTCTCCATGGAATTGGTATTTGTCTTACGTAGCACTTATGTGTCAGGCATTCTACCACTGCTGCAAGTGCAGATCCATGGGGGAATTCAAATTGAGATCCGTGACATCCAGGAAGTCAATGTTGAAGATGCTGGGGCCACTGGTAGCAAGGGAGCTAAAGCTTGGAGTGGAACTTGGTGGGGTGAGGTCTAGCCACTCCATGGTTTCCCAAGGAGACTCAGTGAAGCTTAATTGCAGCCCGCTGCTGTCTACGGAAGAGGGTGAGAACTGCGTCTGCATCGGGGAAAGGGGGCCTGGCAGGATCTCATGTGCGTTGAAGATGTCTTCTGCTGCCTTCCCAGAAAAGCCATCCACGATTCCATCAAAAGGAGGTTCCTCACTCCCAGTTTTGAGAAGGGCGACATCACTCACCTTTCCTAAGGGGCTGTGGGAATTTAGTAAGACTTCCAAGTGCTCGTCACTGTCAGTGACATAGTGATCAAAGGAGAGCTGGCCTCCAGACGATGCTTGCTCAAAGGAAGCTGAGGGCTTGGGGAGGATGATGGTAGGGCTGCGAGAGGGTCCCGGTATCTTTGGGACTTTCTGAAGACAAGAATGATCTCCTCTAGCATCTGCTGGCATTTCTGTTGGAAAAGCACAATGCGAATTGCTGAAACACTTCAAACTGAGCCTGGAGTGAGTGAGCTACACTTTAGGTAGACACAGGAAAGGCCATACTTTCCTGTTGATCACTCATCACAGTGTCTCATTCCCACAGAGCTCTTGAGATCCCCAAGTCTTCTTCCTTCAGTTCTTGCCCTGACACTTTTGTTCTGGAGCTTCAGCTTTGTGATGATTCAACTTTCTTCTCTGATGCTTCACTTGCCTACTCCTCTGCTGGCTGTCCCAGAGCGCACTGCACCCTCCATCCCACTCAGGGATCAGTGCTATCCTGCTGTTCCCTTTCTATTTATCACTCCCCTCCTGTTTATCACTTGCTTTTCCTTAGAGTTCTGAGGCACATGTCCCTCCCTCCTCCCCCAGTCCCTTTGTCCCTCCTTATTATCTGCTGAAAGCTCTGTCCTCTGGTTCATTGCCTTTTTGCCCTTTCTGTGTTTCTCATTCTCTGTCACTTCAGCTACCTCAGAAGCCACGCACTGTTCATGCTGGTCTCTAAGCTCCGTGTCTTCCTCAACTCCAGTGATGCCTGCATTCCCACTCTGTTGGATACACCCTGGGTCTTGTCATCCTCAAATACCCGAACCTTCTGAAAGTTCCATTTCAAACCAAATTTCCCACTCTCTGCTTTACCCCTCTTATCCCTCTGACTCACTCCAGTTCTCTACTGACCACCAGCTCCTTATGCACACTTTCTGCCCTTTTCTCGCTCACATCCTCAGATCCACACTTAGGGTTACTCTCTTAGAAATACCCTCAGCCTCCTTGCTTCATTCTTTTTTCCCCATGCAACCCTAGCAAAACTCCATACCTCAATGAGCCTTACCTCTGCTTCTCTTATCATGCTCTGAATTACCCGAACATTGAAAGACAACTACACGACAAAGTGGACTGGTTTCATTTGGAATTCACAGTGTCAAGCCCACCGTCGGTATTTAGTACTGCCCGAAAATCATACTGCGCAACTCTTGAAAGCTCAACTCATCTGTAATGATCTCATGACTGCTCTTTCCTGGTCCCTTCCACACTCTCCTCTGCGTTCCCACTCTTCACTGATGTTGCCACATAATTAATTTCACCATCACGAAGCTTACACACTTAGATGTATCTAAACACATATTTTTCTTCTGCCTTCTTGTTACAATGAAATAACTTTATACATTTGTAAGTGGTCCGTCTCCCTTATTGCTCCTCTCTCGATCAGACTGTGAAACCCATAAAGGCGAGACTTTAGTGCAACACTGAGCCTATTGTGATGACTGCCTACTCCTTCTCTGAGTCTTTTGCTGCCTTCTCTGAAACCTAAAATCCTGTGGCTCACTTTAATGTTCAGCCCGAGCTCTTCTTTTTTACTTATACACATATGCCTTAGGTCATCTTATTCATTTAGATGTCTTCAAACTCTAGGCACATACTTTATACTTTTTAAAGCAAATAAATGAATGAGTTGAAAGGAGGAAAAAAGAACATTTTATTGCTAACTTGAATAACATTTAAACACAGTGGGCTATCCAGTGGATGACTCCTAACTGAATTTTGAACAAGTAGCACAGAACTTTCATTATCTGCTTGGTTGTTTTTTCTTATAATTAAGAAGACAGTGGCATTGAGATAAGAACTGTAGAAAGAATGATGTAGCAGGAGAACACATTTTGGGAAATGGATTGAGCTGAAGAATGAAAGATGTTAACATTATTCAGTGGAAAGTGTTTTAGGATGAAGACTGGAGGAATTATCTGCATATTTCCTTTATCTGTTTCAAATGTGTACCTGAAGCTCAGAGGAAATGACTCTCTGCCTGCAGACCGCTTGGTACACCAGACTCAGGGTACCTCTGACTTTGGTTCTAAGTATTAATTCTCTGGAGTATGCACAAGTGCGGAGGGTCCAAATAGACATGACTCAAGGCCACCTTACCTCCACTTTCAATGAGGACATCCAGGAGTTCATCCATCTGCTGACTCCGGGTCATTTGCTGTTGCAAATTAATGAAAGAAGAACATGGTTGCTTCTGCAGGAAATTATTGGAAATAACAGGTTCTTGAACTAGATTTGATCAAGAACTCTTAAATAATTTTAAAAATGCGTATGACATAAAATACAATATTTTAACCCCTCTGTAGTGGCATTAAGTACACTCACATTTTTGTGCTGCCATCATCACTTTCCACTTCCAGAACTCTTCATCTTGCACAAACAAAACTCTATGCCTGTTAGATAAAAACTCCCCAACGCATGCCTTCCTCAACTTCTAGAGATCACCATTTTACTTTCTGTTGTAGCATGTGTTAAAATTTCCTTTTTTTAAAAAAAATTAATAATAGTCCGTTGTATGAATCTCTCACATTTTGTCTATCCATTCATGTGCCAAGGTCAGAGGCTGTTCCCATCGCTTGGCTACAGTGAATAACATTGTTATGAACTTCGAGATATTGGCTGAAGGTTTTTGAACTGTGTGATTAAACCTCGGCATAAATTTTAATGAAATAATCTATTAAAGGAAAAAGAGAAGACAGAATGATTCCCAGCACAGAATAAGAGTAAGTTGTGTCAGGTGGTTTTCATCCTAGGAAATGAATATATAGAAAGTAGCCTTTTCTCTCTTTGACTGGAATCTACCTCTTATTTGGCAAATGTGGAAGTGACTCGGATCTTGGCTCATATTTCCTTGGTTTCCTCTGGTTACTCAGTGCTTGTGGAACCTGTAAACTCTTGTAGAGTATCCCCTCTCTTCTCTGCTCATCGGAGGTAAGTAGAGTCTTCTTTCTAGAGGTCTACATTGCCTGGAATGTTTTCTGTTGAGGTGAGGGTGGGTGCATTGGAGGAAAATACCATTGCCCCAACAATTGCTCTCATACACCTGAGTGCCTATCACACACAGTAGTGTCAGATTATCTAAACTCCTTACAAAGAGATATTGCACAGGTATCAATAGTCAATGTGGATGGGGACACTGCTCCAAGAATGAGTTATTTGCTACTATATGCCCACAAGGTCTGGCAGATAATGTCAAAGAGCCAAATACAGAAGAAGAAGAGAGGCAGAATGCAGAACATAGCTCCAAAGAAGCAGTGTTGCTTTGCTTTAGGCAATTTCCAGTTCTGTTTGGTAGAAATGTGGCTCCCATAACGCTGGATCCCCCATTTTTTTCAGAAATGATAAATCCCATTTTTCATATAATCTCCTGATATTTAACTTAATCTTTATTCCTTACCACTGGTTGGTTTTGAACTCGGGGTACCACCTTATCGATAGGTAGCAACCGATGGAGATTTTTTCTGCTTTGAGCATCTATGTAGGGCTATCTGATATTAAAGCTCAGGCCATTTGAAATAAGAGTCATTGCTCAGTATCCTCATGGAATGAGTTTCTAGTTCCACTGAATATCAACATTTTTGAATGCTTAAATTCTTCATATAAAATATAACCTATGCACATCCTCTTGTATGTTTTAAACAATCTCTAAATTACTTATTCTACCTGGTACAATATAAATGAAATATAAATAGTTATATGTCATTGCAGGGGTCTGGTCCATAACCTTTTTGGCACCAGGGACTGGTTTTATGGAGGACACTTTTTCCATATACAGGGGTAAATGGTGGCTTCAGGGTGATTCAAGGACATTACATTCATTGTGCACTTTACTTTTATTATTATTTCACAGTGTATTTTGTTTCTATTATTAGATTCTCATTAGGACCAAGCAACCTAGATCCCTGCATGTGCATTTCACACTAGGGTTCAAACTCCTATGAGAAGCTAATGACAGCACTGATCTGACAGGAGGCAGAGCTCAGGCAGTACCTTGAGCAGTCGGGAGCAACTGTAAATATAGATGAAGGTTCACTGGTTTGCCTATCACTTGCTTCCTGCTGTGTGGGTAGGGGGCTGAGGGGCTTGGGACCCCTGTCTTAATGTTTGAGGAATGATGACAAAAAAGTTTGTATATGTAAAGTACTGACATAGCTCCACAGGCCTCGCACTGTCTATGAACCAGGTGTGAGGCTAACAAAACTCAAACCAGGAGAGCTGGAGAGAGACGGAAGACATGTGAAATGGCAGGAGGCCAATGCAGGATGAATGTCCTCCCTATGTGTGGAATCAGCAGTGTTCAGCATGCTGCAGATTCAAGTTTTGCTTTTTGGAACTTTCAGGAATTTTTCCCTGATATTTTTGATCCATGGCTGGTTGAATTCATGGATACCGGGGGCTGACTACATTATAACATTCATTGTTTGTCTTTTTTCTTACTTTTTCATTGGAGCTTTCCAAATACAAACAAGGCTAGAGAACACAGTGAACCTCCTTGCATTCATTAGTCAGCTTCAACAAGCATCAGTATTTTTCAAGAATCGCTGAATTTTAAAGCTAGGGAGAATCTTGGAAAGTATTGCCTTGACAATTGCTTTCATATATGTGTGTGTGTGTGTGGGTGTGTGCGTAACTATTTTTTTCCTGGTACCAGGGATCGAACTCGGGCCCTTGCACTTGCAAGACAGGCAGCAGAACCACTGAGACAAATCCCTGGCTGCTTTCATATATTTAAGTACCGATCATGTACCCCAACAATGTAGTTAGTGCCAGATGACCTAATGTCCATACAAAGTAAATATAGTTTCTGTTTTATAGAGGAGAAGTCGAGGATGTGCTCAACCCTAGTGACAGGGGCAGGTGACAGGTGGCAGAGCTGGCCTGAATGCCATCCCTGACCCTTCTCCCTGCATCACTTAGCTTCTACAGGTGCTCCTGGACTGATGATGGGGTCACATCCAAATAAACACACTGCAAACCTACTACGGAAATGGCAAATACATTTAATACATCTGACCTATTGAGCATTCAGGTGTCCAACACAGCACACTGTAGAGCATCCGTGGTTTCCACTCGTGACTGCAGAATTGACTGGGAGCTGCACTCACTGCCACTGCCCTGTTTCGACACAGGATGGTACTATACTATTGTACACCACTAGTCCAGAAAAGAACCGTTTCACAGTGCAGTTCCAGCTGCATGTGTATTGTTTCATGAACCCTAAAGTTGAACACGTTATAATTTGAACAGCCTCAATTGGCACCATCTGTCTACACAAGCAATACCTCCTGCAATTACTGTACAGATACCTCGCTCATTCTGTGGGGAAAGTACTGGACACATAGTATCAGAATTTATAAAGTGCATGAAGTTTAATAATATAAAACAATGTCCATTGAGTCCATATAATCTTCCATAAAGAACAAATCACACGGTTACCTGCTTTACTGCATCTTCATAGGATGGGGGCTGTGTTATCTCTGAAACTGTTGAACTTGATTTAGAAAAAGTTGGGGATGGAATTGAAAACTTTGGCCCCACCTTATCAGAAGAATGTAAACCAGCTATCTGTAATGTGGGTAAAACACAGAGAAGAGCATTCAATTTATGGGCCATAAGTGTTGCTGCCTCTGTTTTAGCGATTACAGACTACGTTCAGAAAAATCGACCTAAGACATAGTAATACTGATAATAATATGCCAGAGATGAGAAAATAACTAATAAAATATATTCACAATGATATATGTCACTGTGGATTTATGGCTTGTGGCATTTTAGACTGGGAAACTTACAGATTTATTTCTTACTCTAAGATGTTCCTTCTTAGGAGAAAACAAGATGATAAAAGGAAATAAAATTAGTTTAATCCAAAACAAAGAAATTAATCAGTCCAGGAATTTCCAGAGTAATTCATTCCTTAGATCATTTCATTCCAAATTGGTTGTATCTTCAGAGTTGGAGGCACTGCTGGGCTTTCTTGTCCTGAACTCACATTGTTTATTGTGAGTGTGTTTTCCTGTAAGGGTGTCTGGCCCATATCATGGTCTCTGACTTGTGACATGTGGCTGTTTTATGTCATGGCTGTACTATTTTCGTCTCGTTTCTATCACCATCTCATTGCTCCTAAGATCTCCTTATATCCTGGACCTTCACATCCTGATTCCTACGCCAGCTGAAAAGATGTCATCTTACCCCTTTTCTTCAGAGATATGGCAGATTCCAACTTTCTGCACCTGTCCAGTCCTTTCCATGAATCCCAATAACTCTTTTTTCCCATAACATTATTTTCTCATGTACCTTTATTCTAATCTTCAATTTCATGGAAACTGGTTTGTTGCCTGTGTTGTTTTGCAAATATATCAAGGTCATTTCAGTCACCATGATATTTGGGGTGATCTCAGAAATGAATCCTGAGATGTTTCCTAGCTTATACATTTAGATCCATTTCAAGGCATTCCAAGTGGCCTTGTACCTTTTGGAAATGAAATGTTGTTCTCCTTCAGTTTGAACCTCATCATTTGCACTGCAGAACAAGGACCACTGAAGACAGAGAGGTGATGTGAGCTCTTAGTTTAAACCGTTTTTTCCCAGGTACTTACCTTTGGCTGTACACCTGGGCTTCGAGGACAAGGGTTGCTCCCTGCACTTTGACCGCTGTCTGTCTGGGCTCCAGAGAAAGTGGTGTGGAGGACAGAAGACCGGGGAGAGAAGTTGGGAGGATGGCCATCGTGTGCTCCTGAATTCTGTAGACAGTAAGAAGTGACCAGTTAAATGGCCAGCAGCGTACTTGAGTGTGGCCTTTTCTGATACATCTAGCCCTGGTACCATGACTTCAGGTGCCCTATCTTTACAAGCTTTCCTAAATTCCATTAGAGATGAACTCACTTAAAAGCTAGCTTTTGGGCCAGGGATTTAGCTCAGTGGTTCCGGTTCCTGCTTTGCAAGCGCAAGGATTTGAGTTCAATCCCCCGCACCAGGAAAAAAAAAAAAAAAAAAAAAAAAAAACAG